CAGTGATACGGGGTGCGGGAGAGCGGCGTTGTATTACTGGACAGTGAACCAGGGTGTGGGAGAGCGGCGTTGTATTACTGGACCGTAGCCTAATGAAGTGGTAGTGAAGTTGTCAGATTGCTGTACAAATGCACTCTTAAAGGGAAGTTTGCCAACATTGCCTGCTCTGGGACAGTGATTCAGGAACGCACACCCCATGAAGAGTCCCAGAAATCCGCCCAGCTGTCTGCAGAGTGCTCCACCTTCGCAACCCTAGACGGCCAATGTTTTTCAGTCCTACCTGCAAGACCCACGTGGCAAGCGTGAAGCATTTCGCGTGGTGAAGGAAGGAACACCCGTGATCGGCAGGGGGCAAGGGGCTTGGCCTTCTCTTCCCCAACAATCCCCACCCGCCTGTCGAAACCCCGTACTTGCCCGTGCAAAGAGAGTGACCCTGCTCTGCCGAGTCTCATCTGCGCACAGCCCTGCCTGTGCCGCACTTCCACCAGCCCCAACCCGGGCCCTCCCTCCACATCCACCTCTCCCCCACCCCAATACCCGGGTCAGAGGGCGCCTGAAGCACGCAAGCCCCTCCAAGTGAATGTGAGGGACCGTGCACAGGCCTAGCTCGCCCTCGTGAGAAACACATGGTAGGAACCATTTCACTGCACCACAGCTCAACGGGATGGGAAGGGGTAGGGGGTCAGGGTGATGGTGGGCAATGCATCCAAGAACACAAATGGTGCTAATCATGTAACTTACCAGCTTACCTTGGATAATAACAAGCCACCACAACTCCATCACACCCCACACACAAAAAACAAAATCGACAAATTTCAATGAGGTGTGACGCCCTTTTCTTTTGCAAAAGAAACACACTCGATGCAAAGCAGCAGATCCAAAAAAAAGTGTGAATCTTTGACCGTTTGAACCTGATAAACTATTAAAGGTGAACTGGAGGAGTTGGGAACTGCATTAACTCAAGGGAGAAAGGGACAAGAGGGACAGGTTGACGTGGGAGGTAATGAGGGCACTGGAAGAGACTCACAGCGGAGAAATTACAAAAGGACTGCTGGTTTCACATTCGCCCTGCTCTCTCTGGGGCCAGGGGAAGACGCTTCTCTTGATCAGATTTATTAGCGACTGTCTTACATTGACAGATCCCTGTCTCCCCTGGTCTCCCCACCCCACACACAAGTGGAAACATCTCACCAGCGACCTGCTCGAACTCTCCCCCTCGCCATTTCGAAGACCTGAAGCCTTCCCTTTCCAAGAGAATGAGCCCCAGCCTGTCTGACCCTTTCCTGACCATTACTACACCCTCAGACCTGGGGTTACCTTCCAAAATCTATTTTGATTGCACCTCGTGGCCAAATGCACAAGTGTCTGCTACTATCCAGTGCTCCCGTGTGTTTGGGACAGTGTGGAGCCCAAAACAGTTCAAGGATGTCCTGTGCTTTGCAATCTTAGAGCAAGCTTTTTAAAAGGCGAGATGAATGCAATATTCAAGAACTCTAGGCCCTGCTTCGAGATAGGCAGTGGGGATCGGGAGAGGTGCCTACAATAACCTAGTTACACATACAAGTTAGGCCCCACTCAGCTCTGCTCCCCCATTCAACACAATCATGGCTGATTTGATCGCTGCACATTCCCACCAATGTGATCAACATTTTATTCCCCCCCACCTTTTGCCTTTGGTGAATCCCTACTCCCCCCTCCCCTCCTCAACCCCGCCCTGCCCAAAAGAACATCCAAAGGCTCTGCACCTGCACGCACCCCCCACCCCTTCTGAGGGAGTCAAGACTCCCTCAGGATCTTAGGTGCTCTCTCTTAGTCTTGAACCCCAGTGGATAACAAGCCCAACCTTTCCTTGATCCGCCCAATCCTGGTAATACTCTCAATGACCTTCTCTGAACTGCCTCCAACACACTGATATTTCCTTCCGTAAATAACAAGACCACTACCGCACACAGTACTCCAGATATGGTCGCTGTACACCTCCCTACTCTTGTATTCATTTCATCACGCCCATCACGATAAACAATAACACTCCATCACTTCTGCGATGGGGCACTGGACCCGAAACGTTAACTCTTGATTTCTCTCCATAGATGCTTCCAGTCCGGCTGAGCTTTTCCAGCAATTTCTGGTTTTGTTTCTAGCGTTCTATCAGCGTTTCAAATTATTAAATGTACCTGCAAACTGAATTTGCAGATAATTTGCTTTTCGGAGTTGCTTTGGGGAGGGGGCAGCGAGGGTAGAAATGTATTATTCAAAAATGCAAAGCCTGGCACTGGCCGTGGGAGGAGTTTGGGCGGGGTGTAGGGGAGGAGACAAACAGGTTGAAAAGATTCCTCTTTGAAGAGCACAACCAACATCAGGCTCCTCAGGGTTTCCACCCTCAACCACGCGTAGCAACATCCACCACAGTCTATTCAGCAATCTAGAACCACTCACTGGAACAGAGCGAGAAAGGAGGGGTGCAGGGATTGTGTGGAGGAGCTGCAACAGAGACCTCTTACAAAACCATCAACAGACTCTCACCTGAAGATTTGTTCCTCATTAGGCGCACCTCCCGAGGCTGGTAGCCAGCGTACTGCAGCTGGAGTCGGATCTGAAATAAGACAGGAAGAGGCAGCGAACTCTAATAATGTCCGACAAATACCTTTCACATGTAACCCGTCATCATGACTTTCACACCTCCTGCTCCCAGGGTGGGAAAGCACAGGTGGCCCAACAGTCAGTGGACAATATGGACAGCTACAGCATGGGGTTAGGGTGAGAGTGAAGCTCCCTCTACTCTTCTAAGTTGAAAGTAAAGCTACCTCCACACTACCACCAAACACTCCCACGGAAAAGGACAGCACGGGGTTAGATACAGAGCAAAGCTCTCTCTACGCTGTCCCCCCCATCAAACACTCCCAGGGACAGGGACATAACGCGGTTAGGTACAGAGTAAAGCTCTCTCTACGCTGTCTCCCCATCAAACACTCCCAGGACAGGGACAGCATGGTGTTAGATACAGAGTAAAGCTTCCACTACACTGCTCGCCACCAAACACTCCTTGGACAGGAACAGCGCAGGCTTAGATACAGAGTAAAGCTCCTTCTACACTGTCCCTAACCACAGGAGGTTGGGGGCGGGGGGGAACGCATATATTACCAACTCACAATCACTCAGGGTTTAAATCTGGGGCTCTGCGCAATAGCACAGTGCTGCATCTCAATCTTTAAGTGTAAAGTTTGATTCCCCATCTGCCAGAGGTGTGTGTTACCAGAGTCAGCTTTATTGTATGCACAGCTCCTGGTTTGTCAGTTCAATCGTCAGGGAGGAGAGAGAGTGGGTCCTTGCAGGCGAACCAGAGAACCCTGCAGATGAATACATTGCACAACAGTACGGGGGTTGGCCGGGGCGGGGGGGGGGGGGGGGGGGGGGGGTGTCTTCACATAAAACACCTTTATATCCTCAAGTTCGTCTCTGGCACTGGACGTTGGAATGAAGAGATGGATGCAAAGATAACTGAGACAGAAGGTTCAGGCCCTTGTTTTCTCTCTCACACACACGTACATCATTCTCGGTGGCTGACTGAGGCAGCATCCGGAGCATTATGATCTTGCTGGCTTTCTCATCGCCGGACTCGCTCCTGTAGTCCTGGTCCCTGTAGTCCCCATCGCCCGGGAAGCTGAAGGCCTCTTCTGTGTTCTCATAGCTTTTGTAACTGTCACTGTCCTCTCTGTATTCCTGCAGTGGGTGGTACGGTGAGAGGGTTAGCGCAAGAGGCAGGTGAACACAGGCAGGGCTAAACAGGATTACGCAAACTCACAAATACACTCCAGCACAGAACCACACAGCCAAACTCAATACACACATATCCACCACCACAGACAACCCTCCACACAAGCCTCCCGGCACAGGCCACAACTCAGAAACACACACACAGACACATCTTGTGACAGAAGCACAGGTCCTGCCACAGCAACCTTCTGCATACAAGTGTCTCCAGGGATCCCTCATCCAAATACTCATGGTCCTCTCCTGTATTTTACACCATCACCATTTTCGCGCGGTTTATTTCTGTTTTCGCTCCCTCCGTCGCCAACCAGTTGATGAGTTTTTGCAGACCAACACTGTGATTCATCCTTGCCCTCCAGCAGTGTTGCCCCACTCTCCAGTATCCAGGTGCAAGCACTGTGAGGCTGAGAGACAGGGTGGGAGAAGAAAAACTATACACACACAGGGCCCCACCACAAAACCAAACACGCACAGGCACAGACACACACACATGCACAGCACAGTGACAGCAACACAGTTGCTGCACAGTGACCTACTACATACAGTGATGCACGCAACTGGCAGGGGCTGGGTGGAATACCACAGAACAAGCAGTGCCATTTGAACATCGGGTAATTCACCCGGGCCAGAGGCAGCAGGGAGGGGTAGTGGGAGACATGAGAGTGGAGCGGGGAACAGGCATTGACAGGTGAAGGGAGGGCAAGGTGGCAGCTATGGATACTTAAAAATGGAATAGAATTGAATCAGTTTAACTGTCATTTACTGAAGTGAGTACAATAAAATGTTTACGTCACCACTTACAGCCATCTTTAGGTACAGCTTCTTCAGTTACAAAATCTTAGTGAAATAGAGAAATGAAAAGTCCAGCATTACAGAAAAAGTAGTTCAGAACAACGGTCTTCCAACCCAGACCACACTGGTGCCTAGCCTCCAGTCTGCACCAGGCCTTGGCTCTAGGCTGCGCTGGGCTCCACCTCGAGGTTCATGAGACTGGAAGATCGCTCTGGAATCACCTCGAGGCTGGGTGGAGGCCTCAGGAGGAGGAATGGCTACAGGGAAACTTATAAACATGGCTGAGCCAATCGTTCTCTTGGTCACCATGCCCCCCCACGCACGCTAGACCAAATCCCCTTTCCGGATGGCTGGACGACAGCAAACTGCACCGATTCAGAGCTCAGTCACAGCCGGGCAGTGGGGAGTGGGAAGGGTTTCAGCCCCCTGGACCGGTGACAGGGGGAAAAGGACGACGAAAGGCAGACAGAGGTAAAGCTCTGCTCAATGTTTGCCACACACGTCATTTCACAGGGTGGTGGGGAGCATGCCAAAGGTGCAGAGCATGTAGTGATGAACCCCACCCCCCACCCACCGACACGAAAGTATGGAACCTCACAGTGGTCGAATGCTACCTCGGACTGATCATAGTTCCTGTAGTCCTGCTGCCCGTACTCCTTTCCTCCATCACATTCGTACTCCCGGTCGTACGACCTATAATCCATGTCCCTGTAGTCATGGTCTCGCGTGTCCAGCACCTCCTCTTTCTTGCGATCACTTCCGTAGCGCCCCATTCGTTCTCCCCGGCTCGCTCTGCAACAGGAAGCGTCGGAGTGAGGCGCTGCTGGGGTGGTGGTGAATACACTCGCATGGAGCCCATCTCCCCCACCTCCCTCAGCTCTCCCAAAGGTGCTGTCCCATGCGATCACAATTCCCCGTGCGCATGCAGGAGGGCTCATCCTGGAGCAGGTCTCTTTCCCGTTCACCAGGATGCTGGGGGTAGGAGAACGTTCACACCTCCCCCCCACCTCCCCCAGTCTGTCCCAAAGTCAGTGTTGATGATGTCAACATTCCACAAACAGTGGCTGACTGGACAGGTGAAAGCCAAGTTCTGGGTTTTGACCCTACATGACCAGACCGCAATGCAGGGGCAGACCCTAAGGGCAAAGTTCACCTGTCACATTCTGAAAGGCACGCACTCTATCTCAGAGGGTTCTGAGGCAGTTAGTTAAACCAAACAGCTCCAGGGCTACTTTCTCCAACACGGGAGAATCTAACTATTTCCTCTACGTCATTCAATGGTGTTACCATCATGAATGCCCCCACTATCAACATCTTGGGGTTACCACCTCCAAAGGAGAATCTAGCCATCGCCCCCTTGACATTCAATGGGATTATCATCACTGAAATGCCCACTATCAACATCCTGGAGGTTACCGTCTCCAATAAGAGAGAATCTAACCATCACTCCCTTGACATTCAATGGCTTTACCATCACTGATGTCCCCCTACTATCAATATCCTGGGGGTTACCATTGAGCAGAAACTGAACTAGACCCAGCCCCATATCGATACCGCGGCTACAAGAGCAGGTCAGAGGCTGGGAATCCTGCAGCGAGTAACTCCCCTCCTGACTCTCCCCACAAAGCCTGTCCCACCATCAATGAGACACAAACATTGAGTGCAGCTCCCATAGCACTTGAGAAGTTTTACACCATCCAGGACAAGGCAGATGTCCTTCAACATTCACTCCCTCAAACACCGACGTACAGCAGCAGCAGTGTGTACCACCTACAAGACGCACTGTAGCAACTTGCCAAGGCTCCTCCAATAGCACCTTCCAAACCCGCCACCTCTATTCTTTAAATGGACAAGGGCAGTAGATGCAGGGGGAATACCACTGAGATCACCATGCGCACACACACACACATTTACCATCCCAACCGGCAATGATGTCAGCCTTCTATCACTGTCGCCAGGTCCAAATCCTGCAACTCCTCCCCCTCATGGGGCTGCTGGCTGACTCTACATCACACTGCCTTTTCAAAGGACAATGAGGGACGGGCGATAAATGGTAACTTTGCTAATGACACCCCCTTCCCTTGAACAAATGAAGATTTTTAAAATCTGCAAACAGGCGCTGGAGGCAAACCTCTGTAGTCGCTGTAAATACAGACAGGCCTGAAGTTACCGTTTGTCATAATCCATCTTCAGTTTCCGGAATGGGCACACACTCGTGCACTCAGTAATGTTTAGGTGTCAACCAGTTGGGTGTCCGCCCCTCCCTCTCTCTCGTCCCTCGTTTATCCTGCAAAATAGACCAGTCCTATTAGTGCTGACAGGTCCATCCATCTACCTGCCACTGCAAAAGAAAAATCAAAACATGCATCTACAACCTAATAATGCCAGACAGAAAAAATAAAAGGAGACAAGAGAGATACTTGCATGTTTCCCAATCTCTCTGCACTGCTCTGTGTTCATACTGAGCGAGCCATCATTCCCTCACGATCATATCGTTGGGATTAAAGGAAATCATTGCTTCCCCAAGAAAATCTCAAACATCAGCTCCGGACCAGGCGGGCTATCACAGGGCGGAAATACCTCAGGGAGGGGTGAAAACAATCTCTCCTGCCGCCGTACGGCCAGTCTGCAGGGATAGCCAGACCGCAGCGTCTAGGAGGCAGGCAGGAGTGCAGTCTCTACCTACCTTGGCCGTGTCACACAGGAGGAGGCTACTGAACAGCACTACAAGCAATATGAGAGCTAGAGAGACAGACAGAGAGAGACAGATGGTGAGAGAGACAGGAAGAGATGGAGAAAAAGAG